TTCTGACCTTCATTCCTCTTGTCACTAAGAGTAGAGAACATCACCAGTGTATTTCACTGCCACTCCCTGAATCTGAGGATCACTCGGTCCTTTATTCTCTAGCAGCAAGGGAAAAGCTACCAGAAGATCACATGGGATATTCATCCACACTTACTCACGAAGGAAGGAAATTAGCAGTCCTGGAGCAGAGGCACTTACCTTTCTACTCCAAGTTCCCAGATGGCAGTTCTTATAGAGAGGGGAGTGAGTGCTAAGCTGACCCAAAGTGGCCCGTCTCCAGAAGCCTTATAAAGGAAGTGATGCAGGGGCTGACAGTGTGTGTCTTGGTGCTCTCTCTGTATTTGGGAGCTAACAAGCCCCTAGGGGCCCTAAAAATGATAGACTCCCCAGGGATTGCACAAGAGGCCAGAGGCAGACAAACAACCTCAGTCCTTCAGTGCTTAAGGGTTTCTCTCATCTGCCGAGTATTTTGGACTTTATTAAAGGAACATTAGAGTCACAACTTCATTCCAGGCTCCTAGTGCTCCTGAGAAAGGATACAGTTTCCATATTACTGATGGGAAAAGTAAGAACCAGAGGGCTTAGTTGACTTGGCAAAGCCAGAGAGGGTGTCCCTAGTAGAGCTCAGGCTGGATTCCAGATTCACTGATTCTGGTACTGTTTCTTTCGTTTATTTTCTACACTGGGTTTTTTAAGGTATGCTTTTAAAAGTTTGGGATCAACATGTACACACTGCTTATTTAAAATAGATAACCAACAAGGACCTACTGTAACAATGCAAGGAATTCTGGCCAATGCCATGTGCCAGGCTAGATGGGAGGGGAGTCTGAGGGAGGATGGACACATGGTTGGGTCACTTTGCTGTGCACCTAAACTATCACAGCGTTGTTAATCGGCTATATTCCAACATAAAATCAAAAGTTAAAAAAATAACACAAGCATAAAAAAGCAATTGCAAAATTACAGAGCTGAAAAAAATAAAAGTTAAATAAGGTATGATCTTAATTGTGAAGTTTGATGAGCTTTGATGAAATATATAGTCATGTATCTACCACCTCCATCAATATATGGAACACTTCAACTGCTCCAAAAACTTCCCTTCTGCACCTTTGCAGGCAATCCCCTCTCCAGACCATAGCCATGGCAACCTCTGATCTGATTTCTTTCCCTATGGGTTTGCTTTTTTCATAGTGTCACATAAATGGAATCACACATTATGTAGACTTTTTAAATGACTGGATTCATTCTATTAGCATGATCCTTCGGAGAGTCATGCATGTTGGTAGCAGTAGTAGTGCATTTCACCAAGTCATATTCCATGTATTGCAATTTGCTAAGCTATTTATCAGTTAATGAACATTTGGATTGTTTCCAGATTTTAGCCATTACAAATAAAGATATAAATATGTTCAGACAATTATTTGCGTGGAGACATGTTTTCATTTCTCCTTGGAAAATACTTTGCAGTATAACTGCTGAAACATATATAAGTGGATGTTTAATTTTAAAAGAAACTGTCAAACTGTTTTCCAAAGTGGCTGTACCACTTTGAATTCAATGAAATCTCAATGAATGAGATTGCCAGTTGTTCATCAACACTTAATATCATCAGTCTTTTTAATATTAGTCCTCTCTATTAGATATGCAATAGTAACTCATTATGGTTTAACTTTGTATTTCCTTAATGATATTGAGCATCTTTTCATGTGCTTATTTACCATCTGTATGTCATTGATTATTTATTTAAATAATTTGCTCCCCCTCAATAAAAAATTAGTTGTTTTTCTACTTCTTATTGAGTTATTTTTTAAAATATATTTTATTAAATATAAAGGATACTAGCCTTTAATCCATGTTTTGCAAATAATTCCCCAGTCTGTGACTTATATTTTCATAAACCATGTCCTTTGAATAACTGATATTTACATTTTTTATGATATCCAATTCATCATTTTTTTCTTTTACGATTCATGACTTTTGTATCTAAGGAATTTTTGGGTTGGTTTGCAAACTGGCCCCACACAGAGAAGGCAAGGAGAGACAGAGGCAGACCACTCCAGATTGGCAGGTAATGTTTTTCCTGCTAAATTTTAGGTGCTCAATGAAAGTTTTTGGAATCAATTAATACTTTAACAAAATTATACTTTTATGGACAGAGGTCAGGTTTTGTTTAGTGCCAGGTCCAATTTAGTGACAACTCTGTACCTCTTTTCTTCTCCCTAGATAGTGCCTAACTGTTGAAACCATCTTCCTTAAAATAAGACTGTGTGTGTGTGTGTGTGTGTGTGTGTGTACTCAATCGTTCAGTCATGTCTGGCTCTTTGTAACCCCATGGACTGTAGTGTAGCTCATCAGGCTCCTCTGTCTATGGGATTTTTCAGGCAGGAATACTGGAGTGGGTTGCCATTTCCTTCTTCAGGGGATCTTCCCAACCCAGAGATCGAATCCACTTCTCTTGTGTCTCCTGCATTGGCAGGCAGATTCTTTACCACTGAGCCACCTGGGAACCCCCAAAATTAGACAATAATTCATCCTATTGATATTACTTGAGTGCCTAATGTGCTAGTAGAATTTCCTATAAGTTGAGGGTTCAGAAAGAATCAGAAAATTCTAGGAAACACACATACATTACAGATCAAAACTTTTTCAACAGTGACGAAAGCTAGAAACATCGAAGGTCTGGATCAGGGATAACAAACTGCAGTGCCCACAAGGGCAAGGCAAATGGTGTGGTGAGTTGGAAACTGGCAAATTGGAGGGTAGTGGCCCTCTCTAATGAGGTCTGTAGAAATTTAGTCCTAGATGACTGCTGACAAGGATGTGGGTCCACTGTTGACAGATTTCATTCTATAAGAGCTGAAAACCACGTGTCCTTTGTTGCTCAGTCGTGTCCGACTCTCTGTGACCCCATGGACGGTACCCGCCAGGCTCCCCTGTCCATGGGATTCTCCAGGCAAGAATACTGGAGTGGTTGCCATGCCCTCCTCCAGGGGATCTTCCCGACCCAGGGATTGAACCCAGGTCTCCCTTATTGCAGGCGGCTTCTTTACTGCTGAGCCAAGGAAGCCTCCTGGTTACTTTTAAGTCTCATAAACTACATGTCTGAGCTCCAGGTGCAGCTGGGGGTCTAAAAACCGGTGAACTCAATAAAGCACACAAAAATGTTTCCTTTCCATTGCTTTTCTAAGTGTAAATATTCCTGACTATCAGAGTAATAAATTCACACAGAACCTTTTTCCCGAGGTTCCAAGTGGTGTGTTGAAGTATCAGAGATTCTCCGGAGCCAGCTGCAGCGATTTGAGCGTATACTCACTAACCCCTATCTGTGGGACATGCCTTCTTGGCCTCCTGAATCACTCTGGATAAATCTGCCTCCTGGCAAGGGAAATTTAGCTTTCTGTTTCACACAATTCTATTTTTAAAAACAAAACAAAACTCTTAAGCTATAAAATAAGACTTTAGTAATTAAAGTGATATACCTTGTTCCAGGTTGGGAAAATCAGTAATACAAAGGTGTCAGTCCTTCCTAAATTTATACATTGACACTCTGTTAGTAGAAATTTACAAACAGATTTTTAAAATTAACTGGAAGGATGATTATAAGTAGTTGCAGGAATGAGTGTGGCAAAGACAGACCAACACCAGGGAAATAAAAGTAATAAGAAATACCTTAACAACTACATATTAACTTGTGTTTTAATACCATAATGATTAAGAAGAGCAAAAGAGAGTCCAACAACAGACCCCAAACTAGAAGGATATTTAGTCGATAGTGAAAGAGTGATTTTATATCAGTGGGGAAAAAAATCAATGAATCTATTCCTTTGAAAATTAAATAAAGGTTCTTTCTAGGTTCATTGCAGCACTCCATCCAACAAGATTATTTCAACCAAAGCACATTCACTAAGAGAAAGTTGTAAAATCCATTTTATTCTATCCATTCAAAGGAATGCTATGCAATCTAGAAAAAGATGAGTAAGATCTCTATTGAATATCATGGAAAGATATCCATCTATGTTATTCTGTTATTACTATGTTATCACTACATTATTAAATGAAAAAAGCAGGTTATTCTATTTTTACAGATATATATTAGGTACAAGCTTTTTAAACAATTATATTAAATATAAAAATGATTATCTCTGAAATAAACTTATGAATAATTTTATTCTTTTCAAACTTTCTAATTTTTTAATAAGCATGCATTTTTATTGCATTATGCGTAAAAAGATGTTTAAAGCTATAAATGGAATAAATGAAGTGGTTTTCTCCTTTTAGCAACGCAGAAGGAGAGTTTGGTTCAGGTTTATGTCCAAGAAGGCAAAGATCTCCAGTCAGTCAGTCAGGGAGACTTTTTCAGGTGAGCTGGAACTCTTTAATTACTGTCATTACACATATTTTTTGTTATTGTCAGCCCAGTATTCTACCTCATCTCTATGGTTTTTCTAAACAGTGCCTTGTCCCTTGGATTTTGGTCTTAAACTTTGTTCTCTTTTTGTTGGTTTATTTGCTGAAGTCAGTCTTCACCAATTCCTCTACCAGCCTCTTCCAGCTGCTCTGGAACAAACTGTAAATTTACTAAAGAAACAAAACTTCTTACTCCATGTTTTTTAAAAAATATTTTTCTATAACACTGACCTTCCTTTTCTTTTATCCCCTCTTTCTTGTCTGTCCCATCCATCCCACTTTACAGATACCCTTCTTCTTAGGAATGATGTATTACTTTTAAGAGGCAGTAGAGACAATGCCTACCTAGATTTAAATCACAGCTCTGACATTCTTTAGCTGTGTGACTTTGGGCAAGTTACTTAACTTCTCTGAGGTTCGGTTTCCTAATCTGTAATTTGTAAATCTGTGCCTGCTTCATAGTGTTGTTCTGAGGTTTAAATGAGTTAATAGATGTCAGTCACTTAGAGGAGTGGCCTGGCACATGGTAATCATGATATAAGTAACAGCTACTATTGTTTTTATTGTGCTTTCCTTTATAAGCCAGTTTCTGATTTGATTTCACCATGTTCACATTCCATTTGTACTAATCGCAGTACCTCTTGGAAGCAGTAAGTGGAGCCATGATATTCTTTAAAGCCAGAGCAAGAGATCTCACGTGGGGGGCTGTCTACGCGTGAACACTTGTCTCAGGGCGCCCTGCACATCGGGGTTCCGGAGACTGTAGATGACAGGGTTCAGCATGGGGCTGATGACGGTGTTGAGGATGCCAATCCCCTTGTCCTTGTCCGAAGCCTCCACTGAGCCCAGCCGCATGTAGCTGAAGACACCTGTGCCATAGAAGATGCCCACCACGGTGAGGTGGGAGCCACACGTGGAGAAGGCTTTCTTCCTGCCCTCCGCTGAGCGGATCCGCAGGACTGCGGCTGCCACATGCCCATAGGACACAGTGATGAGGACCAAGGGGGCCACACCCATGAAGGCTGCTGCTGCAAAGAGCAACTGCTCGTTGAGCTGGGTGCTGGAGCAGGAGAGCTGGAAGAGCTGCGGGAGGTCACAGTAGAAGTGGTTGATCACATTGGGGCCACAGAAGGTGAGAGTAGATACAGTCACAGTTTGAGTCAGCGCATTGGAGAAGGAAAAGACACAGGACATGCTGGCCAGGGCTCGCTGGATTCCCCAGCTCATGCGGGTGCTGTAGGTGAGGGGCTGGCAGATGGCCAGGTAGCGGTCGTAGGCCATGACGGTCAGCAGGAAGCAGTCCACCCCGGCCAGGAGGTGGAAGAAGAAGAGCTGCGAGAGGCAGGACCGATAGAGAATGCTTCTGTTATTGGACATGAAATGCCCCAGCATTGCAGGGACAGTGACACTGATACACCCGACATCCAGCAGGGACAAGTTCCCCAGGAAGAAGTACATGGGGGTGTGGAGTTTGGGTTCAGCGAGGATGGCAGCCAGGATGCTGAAATTGCCCCCCACAGTAGCTACATAAGCGAGAAGGAAGATGACAAAGAGGATGGGCCGTAGAGCTGGGGTCTTCGTGAGGCCCAGCAGGACAAACTCAGTGACAACTGAATCATTTCCTGAGGCTCCCAGATCCATGACTCTCTCCCACTGGCAGTAGAACCAAGTAAAGCTAGAAGGTGCCGATGGTGACAAATGGAGAATCAGACCTTTTTTTTTTCAAACTGGAGTATAATTGCTTTACAGTGTTGTGTTAGTTTCTGCTGCAACAAAGTAAATCAGTTATATGTATACATATACCCCCTCCCTCTGGGGTCTCCCTCCCACTCCACCCTCCATCACCCCTCTAGGTCATCACAGAGCACCCAGTTTGGGCTCCAAAGTATTGACCTTCTACTGAATGAGAAAAATGTAAAAGGAGCTTTTGAGCAGCGTGAGTTTCCAGGCTTAAGATCCAGGTGGGATGAGTGGATACCCAGCTCAGCTGCCTCCCTGGATGCCCAGGTGAGCTCTCTCACAGGCCAGATAAGCAGACACCAAGACTCCGATTTCTCTTCTCCAACTCCACCACCACTTGGCTTCTTGATCTTCTGTCTCCTGGTTCTAACTGCATATCATCCAACACACATACTATCACGGTCCTGGTGGCCACATGAGGCTAAAGACTTTTATGGTGCTGTGTCCTGCCCACATGCTTGATCACTTAGATAATGTCTTCCTTTTCCTTGGGTAAAAGGCATAAGGCATAAGCAGAGGAAAATGTTTTCTAATGATTAATGTTGAGAATAAAGTCAAGTCCACAATGGATCAACCTCCATCTAATAGTCTGAAATTTTCTGCATGGACATGTTCTGACCATCAGCTCCACCTCTCCAGATAGGAACTGGTTTTCATTCTAAATCTGCTCTGGACTTAACTATCTGGTAACAGCCTTGCTCCCCTCCAAGTTAGTGAGGCTTTAAACCTTGGTTAAAACTGACTTCTCCTTGTCTCTAACCTTTACTTTCAAGGGACTGAGTCCCACTGTTTGTTTGTTTTTTTTTTCAGGAGAAGGGAGAAGCCGTTATTTTGCTTGTATGAAATCCAAGTTGGGAGCGTGTAGTGAGGGGTCTTGGCACCCACCCAGTCAAGGGGCTGAACACATCTTGGGAAAACAGCAGGGGACAGTCATGCTGGCCCAAAGACCTTCAAGCGGGGATAGCTTATGAAGGACACAGAGACAAGGAGATAAACAACTCACCTGACATCACCCTCACAGTGGGATTTTTCTCTGCCCAATTGTTACCCTCTGGAGGCATCAGAAATTATACTTTCCAGGGGGAGCCAAAGCTGGGTAAACAGACATAATGATCTCTAGTGTCTTTAAAATGTTTTGAACTTTTCTGAAAATGTTTCCAAGTATGACCTTCATGGACACGGCAACATTCATTCATTTATTTAACAAAATTATTTTTGAGCAATTACTGTGAACTGACATTCTTTTTAAGTCTCTCTTTTTTTGTAAATTTTAAACTTTAAATTTTATATTGGAGTACAGCCAACTGACAATGTTGTGATAGTTTCAGGTTCACAGCAAAGTGACCCAGCCATATCCATCCTCCCCAAACTTCCCTCCCATCCAGCTTGCCACATGACATTAAGCAGAGTTCCCCGTGCTATATAGTAGGTCCTTGTTTTGTTACCATTTTAAATATAGTAGTGGGTACACATTGATCCCAAACTTCTGCCTATCCCTTTCCCCCATCCTTCTCCCCCTCGTAACCATCTCAGCACTTCATGGAGTTAAAATAAATCTCAGAGAGTCTTAAAAGGCAGTTAAGCTTACACTGCGTTGGAGGTGGAGTCGGGACTTTGGAATTCTGATTTAGTCCAGCCTACCATCTTGGGAGAGGAGGAGCAGTGCCTTGCGACATCCTAGCCTTGCCTGCCACGTGGGGCTGGGGGCGGGGGGAGTTGGAGCAGGATTTGCTCCTATCTCATGCCCTCCATCATTTCACAAGGTCGCCTCACACATCCTGTCACTACTGCCATCCTCAAACCCGGCTCTTCCTCTAGGGTCAAACAAATATCTTGCCCTTCCTCCACTCCCGTACCTTACTCCAGACCCTCTACTGTCCTAACCCCAAACATTTTCGAGCTTACTGCCCTCAACTTCATGAGTGACCAGGACCATTCTACTTTTGCTCCTAAAGTGGCTTGAGGCATTTAAAAAATATTAATAATTCCTAATTAATGTCAGAGTCACTTCTTTCTTGGTGAGCTATTGGAGATATTAACTTCCCGAGAAGCACTCTGGTGTGGTGGACCAGTCCTCTTCTTGCTCTGTCTCAGCAGTTTAGGACATCGTTTTCATTTCAGTTACTTATAATCCCAGCTGACTGTTGAGTCTGACTTCACTAGGCCACTTCGGTGATGAAATAAAGTGATATGGATCTCAATTTTAACTCCCAAAAAAAAAACAAAGAAAGAAAGAAAGAAAAAGAGAATGCTTTCCCACTGGCTCTCATTAGTGAGTTTGAGAGAAGTTCTTTGCAGGATCAATGGAAGAGCCTCATGGTGACTCAGGACTGCCAAAGGCCAAGGAGACATTGACAGGGAAATAGAATGACTTGACATCTCTACTGACAGCTGTCCACAGAAGGGAACTTCAAGATTCCAGGACCCAAATTGAACCTTTTACTACCCATTACTATCTTGCTACAAGTCTAGACTTCAGCTCCCAATTAGATAAAAAATGCTATAATGTCTCTTTTTCTGATTATTTTTTATTTCACTAATAATGCTTTGGGCATTCATTTTTATTTTGAACATGCTTCATAAACAAAACACTTATATAACAATGTTGCATAAGCTATGGTATTCTCAGTTTGAGAATGAGTTACTTCACCTTAGAAGCTAGACAAATATGGCAGTGAGGGAAGGTCTTACTGAGGTCAGTTTGCATGCGGGATGGAAAAGCCTCCCAGAAGAGGGTTCAGGGCACTGCCTTGCCCGAGTCCAAGCATGCTGGGTAGGATATTAGTGCAAGTGTGTGCGTGCTCGGTTGTGTCCCACTCTGCGACCCCATGCACCGGAGCCCACCAGGCTCTTCTGTGCCTATAATTTTCCAGTTGCTGGGTAGGATATTAGTGCAAGTGTGTGCGTGCTCGGTTGTGTCCCACTCTGCGACCCTATGCACCGGAGCCCACCAGGCTCTTCTGTGCCTATAATTTTCCAGGCAAAAATACTGGAGTGAGTAGTCATTTCTTACTCCAGGGCATCTTCTGACTAGGATCGAACCCTCATCTCCTGTGTCTACTGCTTTGGCAGGTGGATTCTTTACCACTGTGCCATCTGGGAAGCCCCTTAGAATATCAGAGGGAACCTCATCTCCTGATACCATTTCCTCCCTAGAGTCATCTCCAGATTCACACTAGGTCAAGGAAGAGAGTTTCAATAAAGGGATGGTGAATATAAAATGTTCTTGAATATTCCCTTATTGGTAGATAAGTTAAAATTTCCCTTTATTATGGCTCTTCTACATTTAGAACAGATTCCTAGAAGTATTTTGAAAGGTAATAAAAACTGGTATATTTGACAGCAAGATATTTAGCCAGGTCTTCTCTTTAATGATAGACTGGGAACTCCCTGGTGGTCCAGGGGTTAAGACTCCACTTTCCAGTGCAGGGGGTGAGGGTTCAGTCCCTGATTGGGGAGCTAAGATCCCACATGTCTTTCGGCCAAAAAGCCAGAACAAAAACAGAAGCAATTTTATAACAAATTCAATTACAACTTTGAAAATGGTTCACATCAAAACAAAAATGACAGACTCTTTTCCCCTAATATTTTATTGTAAAAACTTTAGAGCTCATTGTAAAGTTTAAAAATTATACAGTGAACACCCATATACCTATCATCTAGACTTTACCATTATATTTGGTCTTTATATAAATGGGGTCCTTCAATAGCTATTCTTCTTTGACTTATTTCACTATTAAGTTTGTATGATTCTCATATTAGTGTCTACCACAATTGCTCATGTATTTTTTTAAGGCTGTATATTAATTGCAGGCTATTAATACACCAAAGTTTATCATTTCTTTCCTGTTTCAAGGTATTTTGCTTCTTCAAGGTATTTTGCTTCTGTGAACATTGTTGTATATATTTCTTGATGCACTCATGCAAGAACTTCTCTATGATTGTTAATTAGAAATAGAGTTTGTGAGTCTTCAGATTTAAAGGATAAATTCAAATTGTTTCCTAAAGGACTTATACCACTTTAGGGTCTTAGCAGTTGTGCATAAGATTTTTAAAAATTCTATATTCTCATTAAAACTTGCCATTATCTCATTTCTTTATTCAGACCAATACAGTGTGAAATGGTGTCTCAACTGTGATTTTAATTTGCATTTGGTAGATCACAAATAAGGCTGAACTTCCTTTCACTGGCCATTTGTGTTTCCTCTTTTGTTCATATCCTTTGTCTGTTTTCTATCAGATCCATTGTATTTTTTTTTATTGAGTGTAGAAGTCTGGACATATTTTGGATACTCTAGGAGATCTATATACATATTGCAAGTCTCTTTTACTTTTTAAAACATTTAAATGTATGTATGTATGTATGTATTTTTGGCCATGCTGTGTGGGCTTTTCTTTGGTTGTACCTAGCTGGGGCTCCTCTCAGTAGCTTCTCATTGTGGTCGCTTCTCTTGTTGCAGAGGATGGGCTCTAGGGCACCTGGGGTTTAGTAGTTGGTGTACATGGGCTTAGTTGCCCTGAGGCATGCGGAATCTTCCCAGACCAGGGACTGAACCCATGGCCCCTGAATTGGCAGCCGGATTCTTAACCTCTGGACCACCAGGGAAGTCCACATCTCTTTTAATTTGTAACTGCATTTTCACTTTTAAAAAGTTATCCTGTGATGTGTAGGGATTTTTACATTTTAAAGCAGGCAAATCTCTCAGTCTTTTAAAAATGACTGAAGCTTTTTGGACTTCTTTTTTTTTAAAATCTTTTTAAAAATTATTTTTTGGCCACACCATGCAGTATTTGGGATCTTAGTTCCCAGACCAGGGATTGAACCTGCATCCCCTGCACTGGAAGCGTGGAGCCTTAACCACTAGACTGCCATGGAAGTCCCTTTTTGAACTTCTTTAGGAATGACTGAACTCCCAGAAGATCATGAAGGTATTCCATAGACTATTTTTACAGTTTGAACATTTTAATCTTCAATATAAGTATCTCATCCTCCTGAAACTGATTTTTGTGCATGGAAAAA